GTGGGAACAGATCGCCTCTTAGTCCAATCTTAGGTGTTTGAAAGACTTATCTCACTGGCACGGTTTCCATCAATTTTGGGTTTTAAGTAAATCGCGTGGGAACAGATCGACTCATAGACTAATTTAGGGCCTATCACACTGGCACGTTTTCCGTCATTGTTTGGGTTTCCATCCGAATTCGAAGCTTACCGCAAGTATTGCATGCAATTAGGACGTCTCTCAGACTATAATTTTTCTCAGCTTCTCATGTTATGATTTCAAATATATCTTTTTCATACTGGAAAAGCATGGAAATATTGGTGTGTGGAACATTTAAAGAATATGAAGAAGACAAAGCACTTTTTGACGGGACAATAAGACTTAATTAAGTGAATCTTGCAGGAAGTAGCTATAAGTTGGGTGCGACCTTTTTCGTCTCAATGATTTCCGTCTTGATTTTGTGTTACTGAGGATCTATACAGTAGATGTTTTTTATTGATAAATTAGATAAGAAATGTAAAAGTAACGGAAGTTGATATTATATATTTCTGTATACCATATGCGTAATTATATTTCTTTAAAATATCGCGATATATATGAGAATGCTTGTGTGATTCCCGGGACCAGACTCAGATGGCGTCAGGTTGTTTACATGCCTTGTAGTGTAATAGTGTCAGTCCATTTACAGACTTCAATTCATGGAAAACTGACGGAAATGTGCTAGTGTGACAGGGCCTTTAAATGTCTCATGGAAGGGCTTGACTGATTTTTGATATACAAATTAAATGTTTTGGATAGGGGTCCATGCGTCGGATTTAGCGTAAAATAAAATCTAACTCTGATGAAAGTCCGTGAAACAAAGATGCACATTTTTTTTGCATAAAAATACGGTACCGCTTGGGTCTCTGATGTCAAAGAGCAGAGACACTAGTAATGATATATGAACGACTGTTTTACATTTGCTGTTTTCTGATGCACTTTGGTTTTATAATTGCTTCATTCATGGTTTTGACGACTTTCGGAATTCTATTTTCATGAAATTAATCACCAATACGACAGTCTGAAATTCATGGACTTTCAGATATGGTAAGCCATCCATTGCCTTAATGAACGTTTGCTCTGATGACCACTGCTGGTCCAGCTTGAAACGAGCTATATAGTTTGTTGTACTGAAAGCTCTGTTTCTGAAAGAGATCATCGGGGAATTATGAATTATGTAAATATTAATTCAATGAATATACCATGTAACTTCTTCATTACTGTTAATACGGAGAGGAAAAAAATGTTGACTGATCAAATGTTTTAGACGTGTATCAAAAGAGCTAGTAAGTGATTAAGGGCCAGTTAAGTTCTTCTCTGACTGGTTTGTATTCCCAAAATTACTTCAACAATAAGCTGGCTCAAACGGGCAAGTACACCTCCTTTCATCATAGAATCGGTACTTTTCTCGTCTTTTACAACAGGTCGTGGTGGTTCTGTCGCCGGCCTTCATCAGGAGCAGCTGGTGCATGTTCGAACTCCAGATGGCCAGCAACAAGATTCTCGACGAGGAAATCCAAACTATCATGCTGCTTCTGAACACATCCCGGACGAGGAGCAGCCCAAGAAACTGAAGTACTTGCTCAAGACGAGAACCTACATCGAGTGGGTTCCCGGCCTCGAGAGTCAAAAGCTCTTCTGGCGAGGTTGATGAGAGCCATATCCAAGCCTTCGGATGCGAGGCCATCGCAGCGTCGACGAAGTTATAGCTGAGGCTCCAAAGTCCAAGTCCTGACTCCTGTTTACATTAAGTGTTTGCTTGCACCGGCGACTGAACGCTGTTTTTGCTGAAAAAAAAATCCGTTTTGGAACCTGAGCTGGTCGCCTCTGCGGAACGTTTGAACTAGACAGGTTTAGGCATCGTGAATGATATTCCTGTTAATCTTTGGTTGCCTTGCGAGTTTTGTAGTATAAACTGTGAAATCTTATATGATAATGAATCCATCTTGTTTGTCCTTGTTGCTAACCAAAAAGGTTTGTCGAATGTGATACTGAGTAATTACAATAACACACACACACACACACACACACACACACACACACACACCACACACACACACACACCACACACACACCACACACACACACATACACACACACACACACACACACACACACACACACACACACACACACACACACACACACACACATATATATACACACGCGCGCGCACGCACATCATGTATGGAAGAAATGTGTAGACAGTGATAATCATAGTTTATATGAACAGTACATATTGAAAACATACCTAGCTGCTTTTGAAGCTGCATAGGTGTCAAAATTCTCTGTGGTATTTTTTTACTGTATCAATATTATTGTGATGTATAATCATTACTCATATTACAGATATCACTCTAATGTTATCATCATTACTCTAATATTACTGCTTTTGCTGCTACTACCTCTCGACTACTACTACTACTACTACTACTACTACTACTACTACTACTACTACTACTACTACTACTACTACTACTACTACTACTACTACTACTACTGCTGCTGCTACTACTACTACTGCTACTACTACTACTACTACTATAACTACTTCTACTATTATTACTGCTACTACTATCTCCACCATCACTAATATCATTGTGTCTGCTTCCGTTGCTGTTGCTGCTATTGCAGTTACTAGTACTACTACTACTACTACTACTATTACTCCAACTAGTGGTAGTGGTAGTAGTAGTACTAGTACTGCTGCTGCTACTACTGCTGCTGCTACTACTACTACTACTATTAATACTACTGTTGCTGCTGCTGCTACTGCTACTACTGCCGCTGCTGCTACACTACTACTACGACATCTATTAATGTTACCGTTACTTCTATTATTATAACTACAACTGCTACTGCTGCTTCTACTAATATTATGCTACCACTATTGATAATACTACTAATACAATAACTATCACGTCAATGATTATTGTTCATAATACAACCAAAACTATTTTGATTACTACCACTACCAAAACCCCTTTAGCGTCACCATACATAGCGATATGATCATCATTGCCATTATTATAAACATTATCCTATTCATTTCCACGATTATATTAATCTTCATTATCATTATTCATATTATGATTCATTGTTCTAGATATATCAATTCTTGGTATTCTTGCAATCTACGAAAAAAGTCTTTATTATCTTTGTAAAACTGCAAATACAGGATCGATATTTTGAATAAGGGAAATGTTTTAATTGAGGTAATAATAATCAATGTTATTATCGTTATTGCTGTTGTTGTTGTTGATAACGATGATTATGATGATAGTAGTACGAATGTGGGTCATACTTTTAATAATGGTGACAGTGATAACGATGTGATTATGATAAGAAATAATGATGTGATAGTGGAAATGATGATAATGATTATGATAATGATGGTATTAATGAAATGATAATGTTAATAATAATGATAATACAATAATAATAACGATGATAGTTATGGTGATGATAATAGTAATAATGATGATAATGATGATAATAATGATAACAATAAGGATATTAATAATAATGATATTGATATTATTGATAAAGATGATGAAAATGATAAAGAAATAATAATAATGATGATAGAAAAAATAAAAATAATGATGGTAATAGAGGGAGTGGTAGTAATGATAATACTATTTTGTCATTATTGATGTGTTATTATTATTGTTATTATTATTGTCATTATTATTATTATAATTTTCATCGTTGTCATTAGTATCTTTATCATCATTATTATCATCATTACTATCATTGTTATTTCTTCTTATCATTATTATCATTATTATCATTATCATTATTATTATTAGCATCATCATTATAAATATTATTATTAATATGATTATTATTGTTATCATCATCATTATCATTATTATTGATATTATGATTGTTGTTATTATTGTTGTTGTTGTTATTGTATTATTATTATAATTATTACTATTGGTATTACAACTGGTATGGTAATGATAGTAATAATAAAGTTAATAATGATAATGAAAATAATTATAGTAATAATGATGATTATTATTATAACCATTATCATCATTATTATCATCATAATCATTATTATCAACATTTTCATCATTATCATCGTCATCACCATCATCATCATTACCATCATACTATTTTTATTGTTTTTATTACTATTATTATCACTTATCTGCGAATCCATATTTCTTGTATACTCTGTGTTACTGAACGTGTTGAGAACGTGTTTATCCATCAGCTGTTTGCCTGGATGTATTATTTTAAGGTGTTAAAATTCCCAAGGGTGCAAAAAAAGAATCTCTTATCCGTTAAAGAAATGTCAAAAAAGTAGGCTATGGTTAATCAGATAAGACTGTGCTTTGCTGTTTTTTTTTTTTTTATTGTGGTAAAGTACTGTTTTGTGGATTACGTACTTTGTATATACTGTATGTATGTTTAGAAGAGAAAAAAAGGGAAAAATCACAGCTGGGAATTATGTTATATTTAATTTGATAAGTATAAGTTTAGATTAAACGGCATTATGCGTATTGTATTTGGACAGTGGTTCTCAAAGATTTTGGTATCGTTACCCCTGGTTCTGTTGTTATAGAACCATTACTCTTACACCAATTTTTATTTTTTAAAGCTATTTATAAGTAAGATTTTACTCAAGAAATAAGGGGTTTAGACGTTATTCTTTTGACAAGAATAAAGGTGTTGGAGATTAGAATTAGAGCATTATTTCTTTGGTGATTAATAGAAAAAAAATATAGTTGCATTGTTGAGAGGAAGCATTGTATTTATGTCACTTAATGAAATATCAATGTGGGAGTCAATAGTGCACATTGCATCGGTGCCTACGTGTTTTAAGTGGTTCTTGGCTTTGGATTCAACACAAACTACAACCGGGAAACCAGCCTCGCGGATTAAGTTATGGCAAAGCACAGTTAGAGCTCTATACGAGAAAATGGGGCATTTCTTTTTTTAATTCACTCTCTCTCTCTCTCTCTCTC